AACATATATAATCACTTGTGCAAATTTCACATCATATTTATTGCTGTAATACAGTGATTGGGAAACAGAGGCACAGTCATCTGTTAATTTATCTGTAACTAAAATGGCGGAGCTGATAAGCAAGGATGCCTCTGCTCTTAACCCTTGTGCAGGATGTTCCCTCCCAGTTGTAGCTACGTGGTCAGGCAGTGGAGGAACAGGATTGCTTCCTTACATTGAAGAATAATCTATTGACTAAAATATCTGCAATCCCTGCTGACATTGGAATATTAAAGTGGTTCAGCTTATTGAAGAAATCTTTATCTTAAATTTAAAGGCCTAATTTATTTATTATATCAAAGCATGCCTGTTTATACCCTTTTTAAAATAATACATTGTATCAAGTGTTTGATTCAATAATTCACCAATATTTACTCTATCTCTTATATCACATTATGCAGTTAAATGTGGCAGAATGACTCTAGATGTTCTTTATCCATAAGTACTTTAAAAAGCGAGGAAAAAACTTTACTTGAAACTAATGGAAAATAACTGAATATATTATTCTCAATTATTAATTTAAAATCACTGGTGCTGTAAATACTCTGATAGTAAATACTCTGAACTATCAGACATATGTGTGTGTATATAATAATAATTGCCTTATGGAAGAATATTATAATTTAATTGTATACTATCTGAAAATCTGGTTCCCTATACATACTAGAAACAATATATGTTAATAGTTACATTTATAAACTGTGAGACCTATTTTTAGGAATCTTTTCTCATGCCAATATCTGGCTTTTTTTTTAATTTTCTGAAAAATAGCTGTAAATTCAGGGGTTGGGTGAATGGTCAAAGCTATAAAATAGCTGCAGTAGTCACAAAGTTCATTTATTAAAAATTCATACATGCTACTGACCCAGAGCTTGTTATGATGCTTAGTGGTCTGCTTACTATTTCAAAATATCAAATAAGAAATGAAAACACTCTTTTAGGTGTGCATAGCTACATACCATTAATAGTGTTAGTTCAGTGTCTCCTACTACAGTTGACATTCTGTGAATATGGGTTGCATAGAGGCACTAGAAAAGAGAAATCAAGTAGAAAAGCAGGATTGTACAAAGCTATGATTGCTTAATATAGAAACAGTACAACATCTTAAAGTTCTTTAAGCATTACTTTATAGTATTTGATGCTTTCAATATCTCCTTATTAATTAAGGTTATTATCAATTAACCTTATTAAGGTTAACTCATGTTCTGAATACTGTGTTTAGAAATGCAAATGGCAATAGACATATGAAAAATGTTAGACATCATTTATTATTAGGAAAATGCAAATAAATACCACAAGGAGACATGATCTCACACCAGTGAGAATGGCTGATATTAAAAGAACCAGAAACAACAAGTACTGGCAAGGATGTGGTGAAAAGGAACCCTCTAACTGCTGGTGGGAGTGTAAGCTGGTGGAAGCCTGCCATTAAGAAAAGCTGAATGGACATTCCTCAAAACACTAAAAATAGGTTTACCATAGGACTTAACTATTCAACTCAGAAAATATATCCAAAGGACTAATATACCCAAAAACACTAATTTAAAGGGAAACCTGCACTCTCATGTTTCTCACAGCACTATTCACAATAGCCAAGATATGGAAACAACTAAATATGCCCCATACAGATGACTGAGTTAAGAGGATGTGGTATATACACACAATAGAATACTACTCAGCTATCAGAAAAGATTAAATTATACCTTTTGTAGCAACACAGATACAGCTGAAGGGATTGTATTAATCAAGTAAGTCAGAAGAAAAAAGATAAATACAGAATGGTTTCACTTATATGTGGAATATAGAGAAACCAAACAAAGGTTCAGGAAAAGGAGTAAAATTTGGGAGCTGATCCTTGATCTGAGATCTCCAGGAGGAGAGGGGAAAGGCTAAAAACTGAGGAAGGAAGAGCACAAGAGAATATGTTGTAGGATTTCGGGTTCTATGGTGTTGGGAGAACAAGGGACTATATCTGAGGGGAGAAATCAAATACTGTATAAAAGTTAATAATGGTGTAAGAAAAAAATGTACTTCGCCTAAAATTAATTTTTTAATAAAATAATTTGTCAGTTTCTAAGATAAAATAGTTAATGAAACTTAAACAGTAAAAATGTAGAAAGATGAGAAATTGATTCAAACTTTGGAAAATATTTTTAAAACAGTCAAAGAAAATGTAAATTTATCTAAACAAATATAAATACTTTGGGCACATACAGTGAAGCTATATGAGATGTTGAGGAAAGGAAAATACTGGAGGCTATTGATTTTCAAAGTACTTAAGTTTTAGTTCTTTGACAGCAGACCCCTATTGTATTCTACTTGGGAATCCTTGTTTAGACCCAAAGCCCTGGTTACTCAAAGCATTAAATATAATCAAATACATTTTTGAGTGTGTTTAAAAAAATGTAAAAATAAATCCACAGTGAACAAAATACCAATTACAAATATACACTTCTATTTATGACTGTGCTACTGTGCTAGCTGCATGGAAGTTTCTAGTGGGCACAATTCTCAGACCACTTGTGTCATGTGAGCCACACCATGTAGGTTTGCAGTGAGTGAAGATGTTTTGAAAACAGAGCAGGCAATGAAGCTTTCTGCATAATCATGCCTTATATAATCATGTTTTTGGTCACAGTGTTTTATTGACTTTTTCCAGGGGGTTCAAACATGAGAGGACATTTTGATAAATATATATAAGGAACATGCATTTTTCTTTTTGCCTCAGACTCCCACATGGCTCAGCATGGAACTGTTGAACATTTCTCCTAATGTATAAATAAAAATTGATGCTCAATGAATGAATGAGTGATCAAGTAAATTAATATGATCATTTCCTTTTCCAAATATGTATTACTAATATCAGTTGTTTCTGCATTTTATTTTTTTATTCCTGCTTAATTTATTACCTTGTTCTGACATTATTCCTCAAAGTCATAAGGGCAGTTTCATTTATTTATATTTTAAAGATTTGTTTATATATACATAACTGGAGTGCAGGCCAGAGTTGTGTGTGGGGGGAGGGGTGTGGGGGTGAGATAATTCACCAGAGATAGAATGGGGGCAGAACAGAAAGAGATGTACTGAAATGTAAAATTTTATGAGTAATTCATTAAGTAGGAAATTTTTTTTAAAAGATTTATTTATTTCCTCATACAGAACTGAGGTACAGGCCAGAGACGCGGAGGGTGAGAGGCTTCACCAGAGACAGAGCAGGGAGCAGAACAGGCAGATCAATGAAGTACACTGCTGAGGGGAGCAGTGGGCGGGTCAGGAGAGGTCTGCCAAGCCATGTGGATCTCCTCCTCCTCAAACTCATGCGGAAGTGGCTTAAGCTTCTCAGTGCAGTGCTTTAACCCGCTGCGCCGCCAGGGAGGGCCCGGAAATATTTTTAATAACAGTTTACCATATTACTGAAGTCTAAATCTACTTCCTTTATTACTTGTATTCTAGAATCTTCTCCAGTTTCTTCTCAATCCTCTTTAAAGTTTATTTTTTAAATTTAATCTGGTTAAACATACTAAGTAATCAGACATCAGTATTGATTTAGATTTGAGACATTCTAAATTGCCATCTGTTCTTTTCTTAATTGTCGCCTTCTATTATTCCCAAGTTTGTTTTTCATTTATTCTATGTGTGCCCTTGATAGGGATCATGTATACTTAATCTACATACATCATAACAGTTTCTGTAATATCTAGCAAATCAGGACATGCTAATAATTACTTAAATATAACTATACTCATAGTTATGATATTGCAATTTAACCTCCCCACTGCTTTAATCACACACCCTTTCTAAGACCCCACTAGTATAATACTGATTTTTACAACCAACATAGTTTCTTCTGTCTCCATTCTAATTCTTTCATCAATGTTTTGCAAACATTGTAAGGAGATATTTTGTGATATTTACCCTTTAACAACTAATATTTGGGGAAAAAAATGGTGAAATTTGACATAGGACACTTTAATAAGAGAATCAGTCCACATATGTTGCATTTAATATGTTCAGGACACATTTTTTGGAGTTTTGGAAAGATGTGGAATGTTGATTTTGTAAGTAATTAAGGAGCACTGTTTCTATCATATATTTATGATTTTTTTCATTTTCTTACAAGAATATTTTACTTTTTCTTCAAATCATCAATTTGTTGGGACTAGTTCACCTACTGGTCCATATACACATAACTCATGCTTTACCATCATAGACTGATGTGACACAGTGTAATAGAAAATGATGCATTGCCTGAATTTAAAGGAACATGGACTATTTCTGGATCTGCAGTGCAGCATGAGATCTGTATCACATTTGAAACAAAGCTAACCAAGCAGACAGAACAGAAAGATATCTATAGTATTCATTAATCAGGGCAAGTGTGTGTGTTTCAGTATACTACCCTATTTGCCTGCTGTATTTTAAACTTGAAACAGAGAACACAAAATAGTCTAGTGACCATTCTTAAAACTTTCTATACAGTTATACTTAGAGGCTCATCCATGAAAAAAACTAAGTAAATTCAATTTCCTTGAAAATTGTTAAACAGGTTGTATAATACATACTCCTTTATCCCCATCGTTCTCACTGGGGAACCATTAAATATTCAACAATGTATCCATTTTGATCTATGTAAATAAATGACTATTAGCACTAAGCACTAATGTGCTACCTACTATATAAAGCCAAAAAATAATTTAAAGCATGTTGTTTACTAAAAAAATCCAAGTATCAAATTGCTTTGGGTTTAAACTAAAGAGAGTAAATGAGATAATAAAATCAACTAAAAGAGGTATTTTCACTGTTACAGAAAAACCTCCAGTTTGGGTGAGTCTTCAGAAACTCTTTAAGGCAGAATTGCCTCATATGTTGTAAACAAGGCAACTTAACATTTCTCGCCACTGTGAAGAATATTGAGCATTTTCAAGTTCTTTTCACATAGTTTTACCTTTTCTTTCTTATAGGATCTCAACATCTAAAATCCTTGAAGTTGAGCTACTGTGTCTTTTTCTCCATGTGAATTACTTATACACCCAGGTGCAGAGAGGTAAGAACTAACATAGGTCAGACTGGCACATATGTTTTCCCCAGCTGGCCCCCCACTGTAGAAGAAGCAAATTACTGCTAACTTTACTGGAATTAGTTATTTATGTCACAAATCCACCCTTATCAAGAACTTCATTAATGTTTTTCTTTTTTGTTTTAATTTCTGCTCTTCTGTATTATCCATATGCCTGTCATGCCTGCATTCCTCTGGACTAATTACTCCTAGGCCTTCTGGTTATCGACAACCTTTCTTATCTGGGTATTTAAATGATTTCAGTTACTAAGTACATATAGTTTACCCCCAAAGCTTATTTCCATCCCTGGTCTAGTCAAATCTTCATAGCTGCATTGAGATCCTTAGGACATAGTCAAATGTGTTATACCATAGATAAATCTTCCATCCTGGAGCAATCATTCATTTACCACTCAATAGTTGTTTTTATTTTTGTTGTTTGTTTGTTTGTTTTGTTTTGTTTTTTAACTTCAACACAATTTTCCCAAATTCTGGCAATGCAACATAAGTAGAGACCTGGAGATGGGAAAGAGGAAAATATAATATTCAGTAGTTGCATGATCTGCTCACTCAACATGATCCTTCACAGCCATTCTGTAAATGACATTTAGTAATTTTCTCTATAGTTTTTCCAGTTTAACTACTCACTCTCTATCATAACTACGGTGAGCCCAGTTCTTTTTCTATTCATTCATATTTGTTCTCTACCCACACACTTTTTTTTTTTTTAAAGATTTATTTATTTATTCATACAGAGCTGGGGTACAGGCCAGAGATGCGGAGGGTGAGAGGATTCACCAGGGACAGAGCGGGGTACAGAACAGGCAGATTGACAAAGTACACTGCTGAGGGGAGCAGCGGGCGGGTCAGGAGAGGTCTGCCGCGCCATGTGGATCTCCTCCAGGGCCAGCGGGGATCGAACTCATGCAGAAGTGCCTTAAGCTTCTTTGTGCTGTGCTTTAACCCACTGCGCCACCAGGGAGGGCCCCCACACACTTTTTTTTTTTAATATTATATGTATTTTAACATTACTCTTCCTTTTTGTACAATGTATGCGTTCTCCTCTCAGTTATAATCTCTGTAAAATTTCCCCTACCAGTTCACCTGAGCACCATCACCATAGTCCATTGTGTTACTTTTCTCCCCTGTTTTTATTTCTCTCCCTCCCCCTACACAGCAGAATGTCTCTTGTTTATAGTTTCCTGTTAATTTTGTTTTTTTTAATTTATTATAATTATTTTTCCTCATCTCTTATATTTGTCCTATAAGTAAAGCCATCTGATATATATATATATACTTTCTTATTTGACTTAGCATAATCCCTTCCAGGTCCATCCATATTGCTGTGAGTTTATCATGCTGTAAAACATGAGTTTATCTTTTTGACTGCTGAGTAATATTCTATTGTGTGTATATACCATAGCTTTTTAATCCAGTCATTTACTTTTGTGCATTTGGGGTGTTTCAATACCTTACTGATTGTACTAGGTAATAGTGCTGCTATAAACATAGTGGTTCAGGTACCCTTTTGAATTAATGTTTTTATGTCCTTTGTGTAGATTTCTAGGAGTGAATTGTGGGTCATATGATAGCTATTTTTAGTAGTATGAGTAGCTAGATGCCACATAAAATGATGAGAAGAGATAAAATTGCAGAATAATCTAGGATCAAATTATATACTAAATGCTTTTATTAATAAGAACAGTCATTGGGTAACATGATAACACATTGTGTTATCATAATATTGGATCTACTGTAATTTCACAGATATTTTTATGTAAGTACACCAAAGATATCCTCTTCAGATTTTCAAGTTCAGATTTCAAAGTAGATTATTTTTCACATAAGATATGGCAAAGTTAAAAAGTAAAGGAGAACATAATAAATAAATCTTTAATGAAATAACCACTGGATTTCAATTGACAGCTTTTAGTTAAACTATATTTGTCATTTATTCTATTATTCTCCTTCCTATTTTGTCACCCTTTCCTCATCATGTTTCACATATGACAGGGAAATGAGATAACATTTGTATATAATTACCTAACCTTTATCTCCCCTTCTCTTTTATCCTTCTTTTCTCCTATTTTCTTCCTGTTCTCTATGACAATCTTTACAACATTTATCATTAAATCTCCTTCATTGCTTTCTTCTTCCTCTGCTGTTGCAAGTAAATTCACAACATGAGGACTATTGATGTCTCTGTAAATGTTTGGTTTCTTACAAATGGAATAAAAAGGGCAACTGATATAAAATTTTTTTTTTATTATTAGAACAATACCAAACCTAATACTGTTATTTGTGTAAACATGTATTTTATATATTTAAATTATCAACATATAAAAGAAGACAAATAAAGGGATATAGATAACTTTAAGCTAGATATATTTCTTTTAACATTTTAGAATAATTTAATAAGACATTGATTTTCATATTTCATAATATAGTTGCTCTATATTGATTTTCATAGAATTCTATAAGAAGATGCTAATAGAAGAAATCACCTCTTGCTTTAATGTTCTCCCAATGAAGTCACTTTATGTTACAGAACATCCTTGAAAACAACAGCCTATTAAAATTTTAAAGATAGCCTCCTCCTAGCAATAAGAATTTCTTCAGAAGTAGAACCTTTTCCAAACATATTAATATTTTCAAAAAGATGATAGCCCTGTCAGGGATTAGACTGTCTCCAGGGTTAAAACCATAATCTGGTAAATAATTTCAGCAGAGGACTTCCTTTCTCCCTCAATAAGAAACTTTCTCATCAGGGAATCCTATAGATATTCATTTCTTCAAAGACAGGACCATTAAAACATGTCAAAATCTTCAAAGTAGCAAACATGCCACCCCTTAGCAAAATGAAGTCCTTTAAAGTAGAAACCCAACAGCATTATAAATGCTCTGAAGGAAAACTCCCAAAGCTCTACAAAATACTGCTTCCAGTACCTAACTCTCAGATTATAATTTTAAAAGGTTATGCAGACTGTACATAATTTGCTTAAAAAATACTTTATTTTACAAGTTTTAAGTTCGCATTCAAAATCTAACAAAAAGTACAAAGAGGGGCCCTCCCTGGTGGTGCAGCAGGTTAAAGCACAGTACTGAGAAGCTAAAGCCACTTCAGCATGAGTTCGATCCCCACCTGCCCCAGAGGTTATCCACATGGCGTGGCAGACCTCTCCTGACCCGCCCGCTGCTCCCCTCAGCAGTGTACTTTGTCAGTCGGCCTGTTCTGCTCCCCACTCTGTCTCTGGTGAAGCCTCTCACCGCCCCTGAGCCTCTGGTCCGTACCCCAGTTCTGTATGCACAAATAAATAAATTTTTAAAAGAAAAAAAAAGTACAAAGAGGTTCCATGTACTCCTTGCCCACTTATACACACAGCCTTCCCGACTATCACCTCCCTCATCAGAGTGGTACTTTTGTTATAATTGATGAGTCAGCAGTATCATTCAAAGTTCATCATTTGCAGTAAGGTTCACTCTTGGTGGTGTGCATTCTATGCATTGGGCAAATATATTTACAGTTATCATTGCAAAGAGCAGTTTCACAACCACCCAAATCCTCTCTTCTTTATTCTTTATCCCTCTCCTCTCCAGCCCTGGAAATTTCTATTTTTTCCTCTGTCTCTAGAATATCATAGAGCTTGAATTGATATGCATCCTTTTCAAATTGGCTTCTTTCACTCAGTGTTGTGTATCTAAGTTTACTACATGTCAGTTCCTTGCTTGATAATTTATTTCTTTTTAGGATTGCATAATATTCCACATCTGGATGTACCGTAGTTTTGTCTGTTCATCCACTGCAGATCAACTTGAATTCCAATATTGGCAATTATGAATAGTTACATATACTGTTATAGCCATATAAATACAGAATGTGAGTTTTTTTTTTTAAGTCCTTTGGGTAGATACCAAGCATCATAATTACTATATAATATGATAAAAATAAATTTAGTTTTATAAATACAAAAATACATTTAGTTTTATAACTTCCAAAGTAACTTCCGAAGGGCTCTATCATTTTTGCTAGCCTATTAGCAATGAATGAGAGTTGTTGTTCATATACTCACAGGAATTTGGCCTTTCAAATAGCTGTCTAATAGTATCTCCTTGTTTTATTTCATATTTCCATAATGATATGGTATGGAACATCACATGTGTGCCTCAACTATATATCTTCATTCAGGTCTTTGGGCCCTTTTCAATTGTGTTGTTCTGTTGATTTTAAATAGTTCTTTGTATATATTTTTAAAGTAATCCTTTATCAGCTGTATATTTTACAAACATTTCTTACAACTTCTTTTGCTTTTGTTACTTTGAAAGTATCTTCTGCAGAAAATAATATTTTTTCTCCTTTTTTTGAGGTAACTTTGGTTGTCTAAACCTGTTTCAGTAATATACCACTTCACAACTTGTTAAATGTATATCTCATGCTACACCCAACATCAGAGTTGTAGTTACCATCCATAACTGCCAATTAGACCCCTACTCTTCAGTTTTCCTATCCTCCTCCCCTTCCCCTCTGGTAGAATTTACTTGAATAAAATCCAGCTTATCAGTTCTTTCCTTCATAGGTTTTGCCTTAGATGTTATATATAAAATATCCAAAGTCAACTAGATTTTATTCTGCTATTTTCTACTTTTTATAGTCATATTTTTTACACTTAGGTATGTATCATGTCTAAAGTTTGTCTCAATTCATTTTATGTAATGGATATTCAGTTTTTCCAATGCAATTTATTGAAATCATTATTTTTCTTCCAATAAATGTCTTTGTTCCTCTGTTAATGTTTTAGTTTAATATATTTATGTGTATATATTTTTGGGCTTTCTATTCAGTTCCATTCATCAACTTTTCTATTCTATTATCAATACCATACTACCTTGATTACTATAGGCTTATTGTAACTCATGGAAATGGATAGGCAGTATCAATTTTCTCACTTTGTTCTACAATATTGTGCTGGCTTTTCTTTT